ATATAACCTCTTTTGAGTAGTATCGTGATACCCCACAAGTAGGGTGTTCTAAGACGCCTGAAGCTCAAATTCCAAGATCCCCTCGCCCTCGGGCGGTAACCCCCGCGACGACCCTCGCGCTCCAGGTGGGTAGTTGTCAAAATTAGGGTCCCTTTCTGGGTCCCTATTATAATACGGCACCTATTATTTAGGGTACCCAAAAAGGGACCCTAATTTTGACAACCACCCAGGTCTGTTATGCGCTGATGCAGTCCACTGGCATGGTGCCGTGGCGTCCTAGGGTCTTTTCGACAAACAGGTTTCGGCTTGCAGGTTTCAGGTTTGCCTATTGCCACGCGAGATTCATCATGCCCCTGATTCATTCAGCTCTGCCCCTCGAGCCTTCACCGCAAAATTCCGGTGGAGGACATGGTTGATTTTGGATGATTTTGGGGGATTAAGGTTAATAATCGTTGAGACTTATCGAGTTAAGACTTGCGGAGTTTGGTTGGTCCTTTCTCCCTTCAGTCTTCCACACGTAGCAGAAATGCCTTGCCAGAGTCAGAGGTCAACGATCATCCAGTCAGCAGTTGGCAGTGGCGCCGTGTGAACGACATCGTCAGTCGGAGGTTTGGGAAGAGCAAAAGCTGAGACGCATACGATTTCTGGAAAACCAGAGCGTTTTGCTGGGTGGTGCAAGATTTCGCCCAAGCTAAGTCCAAATGCTCAGAGACATTCGGTTGATTCTCTTGGAGAGCCACCGGCAGATTTGGGATTCGGGATCTATGCTTGCCATTAAGATGTGCACCCGACAGGTACCACGGACTCAGCCGTCGACATTTACCGTCATACTTGTCACCACCGTCATCATCACCGTCATCATCATCATCACCGTCAGCATCATCTCATCATCGGAGCTTTCGTCATCCAAAGGGCACCGTGTATAATATAGAGAGAACTGGCAGCAATTATCCGCAGTGGTTCAACAGTGCAAACGAGCATGAACTTCTGACCCTGAGCTGGCAGTAGCTCATGTAAAGACCCTTCCGTGCGTCGCGATGACTTCATTAAACAAACATGAGGTTTAGGTTGAACACATGTGCAAGCTTTAGTACATCATAGCATGTTGTAGTATGTTATGGTCAATGGTTGTGCAATACATATATATATATATGTATATATATGTATTACATTATGGTATTGCGATAGCTTCGGCGTCTGCTCGTGGTCAAGGAACGAATTCGGTGCGGGGAATGTGTATGTTGGTGTAGTGGGCTTAATGTTCGGGTCCTACCCATAACCCAGGAAAGTGTCTGGAGATGGAATGTGAAGACAGGCGCAAACTCAGTAGCCAGATCAAGCGCGCAAACATTATTATCAGATGTGCTGGCCTATACACAGATGGCGACGCTTGATTGCTGCATCTGACAGGTGTATCCACTGGGGCGTAGTTCTTTTGCAAAACGTCAGTAGAGACTCAGAGGCGTCTCAGTCAGTTCCGGAACATGGAATAATCTTCGGGTTCTCTGTTGCAGTGGAAATCATTGAAGTTCCGCGCGGAGGGAAAGTTTACGGATTTTTGGTTCAGAAATAACCATCGGCTACTACAGGGGTCCATGTTGGCATGGGTGTGCTTCTGAACCGTCTCTGTCGTTATAAGTTAGCGTTCAACTTTACATCCTTAGCTTGACTACCTGCCTGAGAACTGCAGCGTTCTTGAGTCTTCTCGCCCGCAAGAATGTTGCCGCAATTTGCTTCAAGGAAGGATGCCATAAGGTTATGCATGACATCATCTGCACAAACAACATCGCAAAGGAAGATTCGGAATATAAATATATGCATATATATATGTTTATGTTTATGCATTTATGCACGCATGTATATATGCTTCTGCATCGCGTGCATTCCGGTTCGTAATGTTTCCGGCAGCGCAAATCCATAAGGTGCAAAAGACTCTTTCGATCGGCGGTTGGGCAGCAGAGATTTGTTAGGGTTTAGGGTTTAGGGTGTAGGGGAGAGATTTTCCCACATGCCCTGCAGTCCCGCCGTTATCAGAAGCTGTAGGCCATTGTAAGCCTGAGCTGCAAGAAGGCTGCACCCCATGATCCTATCTAGGACATCATCGCAAGCTTAAGCCCTAAAACCTAAACCCTAGACCCTGAACCCTAAGCCCAAACCCCTTAAACCCTAAAGACCCCTAAACTAAACCTTTTAGGGTTTAGGGCACTTGTGTTTAACTGTAGCTGGGCTGCAGCCTCATGGCGTCCCTCTTGGCACAGCGCCGGCTTGGAGGCGGCATGATTTGCTTTTAGGGTTTAGGGTTTAGGGTTTATAGGGTTTAGAGTTTAGGCTTTCGGGTTTAGGGTTCAGGGTTTAGAGTTTAGGGTTAGGGTTTACAGGGTTTAGGGTTTAGGGTTACCTGTGCCCGGTTTGAGGATTCCGCTGCCCGGTAGTGGTTGCATCTCGTCATCATTCAGCAGTGTGTCATGTGTGAAATCGCTTTTTTGGTTCAAGCATGTCGGGGAGAGAATCGGTGACTCTCTGTTCTGGAGCCATTTCGTCGCTAGTGTTTCAAACTCGGCTAGTTGTCATTGTTGTAGTCAGTGCTATTGTTATCGGTGGAGTTGTTGCTAGCAGCAACTACGGCTTACCTATGTTCTGTTGATGCTGCTGCTGCTTCTACTACTACTACTACTACTACTACTACTACTACTACTACTACTACTACTACTACTACTGCTACTACTACTACTACTACTACTACCACTATTACCACTATTACGACGACTACGACTACACCAATCAACAACACTAACTAATGTTAATGATACCGATTGATAACCAGCGGTAAAAAAATGCGGCTCGTACAGACCGACTCCTGACAACGTCAACCCCAAGCCACTCTCGAATCCTTTAGCCGTAACCCCAGGGGTCCAAGTACCCAAATAGTATATACTTTGGCCCCAAAGGACCTATATAGGGACTACTTTGAGGCCAGAGTATATACTATTTGGGCACATGAACCCTTAGGGTAACCTCATCGGAGCTGTATCTTGAACCAGCCCTCATCCGCTTCACTTTCGATGCCAGGGACGCTTCTCGTCACTGGGTTTTGCTTGGTTCGGATCTCGGCAGCGGAGAATCACACTGTTTGCTTGCGGCCTGGTATAGTACGGTATCGTATACTGAGATGTTGGTGATTTATTGCGCTGGTGTTTAGGATGTTAAGTTAAGAGCTTGGGTATTTTTCTCGAGTGAAGGGGTCTGGGGTTCGAATGATTTTTCTCGATGAGCGGCTTCCAGTCTCGGTTCTCTTTGCGCGCGCCGCGCCGAAGCAACGCAAACAAGCAAAGCAGCAGCGCGACGGAAGCAAGACGCAAGGGATGATGTCTTTGAAGTGAAGGTCCCGTCTCAGGTAATTATTGCAGTCACGATGTGATGCAACAGCATGTTCGGCGCAGGTAGGGCTTCCTTGTAGATCTCCGAAAGTGTCCATGTATCATTATGATATATACTTAGACCCCCAAAATACCTTATAAGTATAGACCATAATGATACTTGGACAGTTTGGGTCTTGTTTCTTCTTCAGTGTGGATGAAATTCTTGGCTGAATCAGCACGCAAGAATTGCATGGCAGTGGTGAGCAAAGTGGAAGCTCACTTGTACCTCTCAGACAAGGTGTTCTGGTTTAGGCGTGTGGGCTGGGTTTCGGGCTCATAAGGTCAGCGTGCAGGGCATCAGGAGTCAGAGTGTAAGATTCGGGAGTCGAAACAGGAAGTCCCACAGACGCACAACTTCACAGGCGCTGTAATAAAGGGCGATGGGGCAATCCATGAAAACATTTCGCGATCCTTCTGGTCGTCTGCTTTGCACGTCTCTTGGAGAAGATCAAGAAGAGCTGCGGCATCGGAGTACAAGGGTCTAAGGCATTGGGGTATTTGCCGTCCCATTGGCTGGTCCTTTTTTCATCCATGGACTTGAGGGCTCTTCGCTAGCTTCATGTAGGTTTACAAGAACTGCGATCACATGTCCCTACCTGTAGCCCGACCCAGAGGCTCCATAGTAGTTTGATATATAGTATCCTATAAGGTATTCCCAAAAAGGAACTAGTATGGAGCCTTAAGATTCCGCCGCACGCCGCGTCCTAGGTCATTCTGATGAAAGATACGAGTAGCTGCCGCTTTCATCGTTTTAATGGTACTTTTCCACATTCTGTCACGAGCAAGCGATGCACCATGTCCGTTTCTTTGCAGCTAATCGTGAACCTCAGAGTGAGCGCTAATACCCAAATCTTAACGGGCATTGATTTTGGGGGGTATCTCCACAAGGTCATGGATTCGTGCCTTGGTCTATTCTCTAGTGCAGACCCTGACTACATCCTGGAGTAACCCGCTCGGCTTCCTTTTGGCTCGAGGGTGGCAGGGGCGGGCCGCCAGTAGCATCGGTTCCTCCCCCTCTTCCTGCCCACATAACCCAATAACAAGCTTAGACCATGTGTGTGCGAGGCTGCGTGAGGTACGGTACGCCTTGTCGGTTGTTTAGGCCTAAGGGTGCCAAGATGACCTTGGCGAGCTTAGCAGATGTGCGGCCCTCTCGCCAACCTGAGGAGCACTTGAGTTTATGCAATCGCGGTTGAAACAAACATGAACAGCACAAATAACAGTGACAAAGCTAACATCGTTTTGACCACGGCTTGTTATGACTCTCTATCTCTCTCTCTCCCAGTGTGTGTGTGTGTGTGTGTTTTTGAAAACATATATATATATATATATATATATGTATATTCTTATTATGTATATTTGTTTATGTATGCAATACATGTGTGTGTAGATGTTCACACAGCTAGGTTCTATATATGTGTATACACCTAGGCACATGTACATAGTACCATACCTACCATAATAAGCATAGAGCGCTGTGGAAATACCGGTAGAGATACAAGTATGCAGAATTGTGTAGGCATGTGGGCATCATGCACATGCACATTTAAAGCAATGTAGAGACATATATGCGTTTTGCAGGATCTCAACTTGGGGAAGGTCGAAGAAGAACCCTGCTTCGGATGCGAACACCAGGACCAGGATTTTGAAGTCCTTGCTGCTTGGAGAGCTTGTAGCCGTGGCACGGTTCCAACTTTGTTCCCCGTTGTGATTGATTTTACTGTCAGCTATGGAGTGCAGCAGAGGATTTTCTGAGCCCCGAAGTTTGATCACTGGTCATTCTGCTTTAAACAGATTCAATCCCAACGTGTTTGCATTCTTGGCTTCATGCTGTAGCGAGAAACCACCACCAGCAACTAAGTTTACAGCTATAAGAAAACATCTTATCAACCCAGTTTTGTGCCTGCCAGTGTGCATGCTGGTTCCAAGTGCCAACAAGTTCGATCGTCAATTTCATCAGGAGCAGGACCATAAACAGTCATGTTCTTTTTCTTCTTGCATGTCATCATGTTGCCTTGATCATCGGCACCAACACTGTGGCCATCATTACTTGCACCTGTCCTATGGCGAAAACATCCTGCGCCGCCACCCGCATTGCCACCAACACCACAGCTTGAGCCCTGCCGCCACGACCACCACCACCCCCCTTCCGCGCGCCCCCCCCTCCCCCCTCCGCAGCACCACGGCCAGCACCACCACCACCACCACAACCACAACCGCAACCACCGCCAGCAACGACCACTCGGCACCAAAAAGCAAGCTCGCACACAGGCACTCATGAACAAACAGGGCCATTCATGCCAGCAGCAACAGCAGCAGCCACCACAGCTACCCACAGCAACGACATCAGCAAGTAACAACTGCAACAACAACGACAGCAACAAAGACAGCAGCCAGCACTAGCAAGGATGAGGCCTGGCTATTTGGTAGGGTTCCTGACCGGGGAGGCCAACCCTCAATTCTGTAGATTTCCGTGAGGCTGGCGCAGCAAGGCCTCTAGACCAATAGTAGGGGCACGGACGCCCCTACACCAATCAAACCAGGTACAGTTTAGAATATGATGAAGGTGTCGGACTTTTTTAAACCATGTGGACCTCCTTGCGACTTCCCGGCGGGTTTTTGCCAGGAGGCCGTCGAGGTCGGTTGCGTCTTTGTCATCAACGGCTCGCAGCACGCATCCAAAGCCATCGAGGACGGCTTTCACTCTCTCTCTTCCCTAGTCGGAGCTTACTGAATAAAGCTACTGTAGCACTCGCACCAAAAACGTCCCTACCACTTAGCAGCAGCGGAAGCAACTGCAGCCACCACTACCACTTCCACCACCAGCGCCACCGCCTCCAATGCTCGCACGACGACGAGGACCTGGTACTCACACTGACCAGCAGGAGTACTCGTGCGGAGACCTGGCAAGAGTCCTACTACTACTACTACTACTACTACTACTACTACTACTACTACTACTACCACGACTACGACTACGACTACTACTACTACTACTACTACTACTACTACTACTATTACTACTACTACTACTACTACTACTACTACTACTACTACTACTACTACTACTACTACTACTACTACTACTACTACTACTACTACTACTACTACTATTACTACTACTACTACTACTACTACTACTACTGCTGATGGACAAAATCCTGCATTACCATTTATAAGGAATATACCATAGTTCCCATAGTTTAGAATCCTTAGGGTCATGCAGGATTTTGTCCATCAACAGTACTACGACTACTACTACTACTACTACTACAACAACTACTACTACTACTACTACTTCTACTACTACTACTACTACTTCTGCTACTACTGCTACTGCTACTGCTACCACTACCACTACCACTACCACTACCACTACCACTACCACTACTGCTACTACTACTACTACTACTACTACTACTACCACTACTACTAGTACTACTACTACCACGACTTACGACTACGACTACGACTACTACTACTACTACTACTACACCATTCCACCGCTGCCGCTGCCGCTGCCAGCCACCGCCACCGCCACCGCCACCGCCACCGCCACCGCCACTGCCACTGCCACTGCCACTGCCACTGCCACTGCCACTGCCACTGCCACCGCCACTGCCACTGCCACCACCACTGCCACCACCACTATCACTGTCACTACCACCACCACGCCACTGCCACGGCCACTACCACTGCCACGGCCACTACCACTGCCACTGCCACTGCCCACTGCCACTGCTACTGCCCACTGCCCACTGCTGCCCACTGCCCACTGCCCACTGCCCACTGCCCACTGCCCACTGCCACTGCCACTGCCACTGCCACTGCCACTGCCACTGCTACTGCTGTTGCTGCTGCTACTACTGCTACTGCTACTACGACGACGACGACGACGACTACTACTACTACTACATACTGCGACTTCTACTACGACGACTAGTACTACTATTATTATTATTACTACTACTACTACTACTGCTACTGCTACCATCTACTACGAGCGCAACTGCACCAGTAGCGTCGCGATCACTACGACTACTGGTACTTCGGCACGGGCCCTGCATTGATATGAGGTTGTATATACCGTTTTTACCCTTAGCCCGAAGTCTTATTTCAGTCGATGTCGGGCCTACACGGAGATGCCCATGAATTCTGCACATGGGTCCTTTCTTCGGTCTCGTTGCATTGTGTCTCTTTCTTCTGGGCTCCTAGGTTAGGACAGAGCATGCAGCCCTGTAGACACGAGGGATCCGGGTCCTCTCGACGACTTGCTAAGAGAGGGGCCTTAAGACTTGCCTATAGGGTTCCTTTGGAGGGATCCTTAAAGGGGTCTGTAAGAGATATATAGTAGGGTTCTATAACATAGGGTGCTACATTATTACCTATACTATTGTTTTTTGGAGGGGGCGGGGCGGGGGTCCTTGCTATATTGTGCGCCAAACCCTATTCCATTTATTGACGCCCTTATATTGACTGCAAATTACCTATACTAGTTTGACTAGTTTGGGGGTTCCTTGTTTTAGTTATAGTATACTGGGCACCCAAAACCCTATTCTATTTGTTAAGGCCCCTATATGACATTCCTGCAGGACCAAGACGCACAATCGCCTCTTTCATCCTTCAGTCAAAAAGAGGAGCCGTCGAGGCAACTCGAGCCCAGAAGTATGCTTTTCTTAGGAAAGTTTAATTAAGGCAGATTAGGGTTTTAGGGTTGAGGGTTTAGGAAAGTTTAGGAAAGTGTAGGGTTTAGGGTTGAGGGTTTTCTTTTCCTTCAGTTGTAGAGAGGCGTCGCAGTGGGGTTCATAGCAAGAGTGAGGAGGAACTTGGCCGGTCGTCCGGCTGAATACTATAGGGGCCTTACTAATTAGAATAGGGCTCCTTTAAACGGGTCGAGAAGGGACCTGTAGTAGGGTTCTAGAATATAGGTGCCTTATTAACTAGAATAGGGTTTTGGAGTCCATTATAAACACTAAGGAACCCTCAACACCCTATTGTACTTATCGAGGCTCCCGCATTAGTTAAATCTCACTGTACCAACCCGGCTTATGCGGGCAAAATCTATCATGCTTGTGCAATTGTTGAGTTTTTTTGTTGCCTCTTATCATGGCCGTAGTAGGTAGTGTGATCACCTCCAATGTCAGAACAGTGATCATGGGTATCGTGCATACTCCTATTTCGAAGTACTTCGTTTGCAATCGCTACTATGCACTATTGTGGCTGGCATGTCCATCTACGGCTTCTGTTCGCATGTGCCTACCAATTTTCGCATGTTCACCATAACAGTCAACAGTATCATCTCCGTCCAGGATTGTCCGTGTTATTGCAAGCGTATTCTTACACAACATATTCTGCAACACATACCGTACTGCATAAAAGCACATACATACATATATATATATACACATAAAACACATAATACTTTTTGCGTTTTGGTTTTGAAAATATAGCATACAAGCTGTAGCATGTCTCATATAAGTTTGTGTAAAGTCTGCTATATGTAGTTTAACCTGTAACATGCCAAGATCTACAAGCTCATATACAAATAGCAAGAAGATAACAAAATAGCTATCATAACATAGAGTATAAATCAAAATCCGAACCTGCAAAAAATGATATGAGAAACTCTACTACATATTCACGAATAAACAAAGCACAAAATGTTGTAGTCTAGTCGTAAAACAGCACAGAGTTAACAACAACACAACAGATCAGCATATAGTCGAATCTAACAGAAAAAGATGTCACAAAGACGGTAGTGGAACAAGTACCGTAAAACATCGCATAACTTAACCAAATTTAACATGACCTGTAACAAAGCATGAAGCCCATCAGCTCGGGCCTTGTGAAGGGGTGGGCTGGGGCCTTAGCCACAGCAAAGCACAGGGTTTAGGACTCAGGGTTTTGGATGCAAGGGTTAAGCAAGGTCGCACTCCTACAGCTACTGCACCATGAAAGACTCAACGACGGAATCAAGACAATATTCAGCCTCAGCTGTTGGACCGTGATACTGCTAGAGGGGCTAGTCATGAAATAGTGGTCCAATGAGCAGCCCAACAAACCCCGAAGTCAATCGGGAATCGGCATGGCCTTGTAGCTCTTAGTCAGTCTGTGAAACTTTTCAACCTTCAGTACAAACACTTTGGCCTACGTCTGGTTCGGGGCCTCGCGGCTAAACGAATGAAGCATGTATACATGAATTGAGTCAGTTCAGTCGTTTTTGCCGTCGATATGACCGTATGATTGGGGTCCGCAAACCACTGCACAATGCAAGATGAGCCCACTTAGCCAGCAAGCCATTCGTTAGATCCGTTTAAGGCCCTATGAATTGTTGAGTGCCTGATCCAGAGTAAGTCGGGCGCAACGGATACCCAGACCCACGGGAGGATCCAAAAAGTAGATCCTTTCATGGGGGTTCCTATAAAGTACTCTTAGTAGCTAAAGGCCCCAAATTAGGGGATCTACTTTCTATTTTTGGGGGGTCTGGGTATTGGGATTTAGGGTTCAGGGGCCTGACGGGTGGGTGAGTGGCGAAGAATACTTCAACGGTGGTTTGAGTGTTTGGGCCTCTGTGAGTTGCAGGGAGAATGCTTACTTGACCCCTACTCAGATCTCCCTACCAAACCTTAAACCTTTAAACCCTAGGCCCTGAACCTTAACCCCTGAACCCGACTACATCACGCGTAGTCATACATATTCAGGGCTTTGGATGCACCTGGACGTTGGGCTAGGGATCGTAGATGGCATGGATGGAACAGGTGGTACTCCTTGAAGAGAATATCCAAGACGGCCCTCAACTACATATCACCAACCACAAATAAGCACTGGTCACTTGTTTTTACAAGACGATCTCGGTCGAGCTCGAACAATTTGAACCCCTGCTTAAAACAGAGCCCAACAGCGGTCTTGCGCAGAACAAGCAGAGATGATAAAAACAAACAAAAGCCTCAATATTTTGAAATGTTTTGTTTTTTGTGATACTACATACACCAAAACCCGAGACTAATTATTAGGGCCCCAGTAGTGCACATATGGCAAGGACGTGAAGGCGTACTCGGGGTGCTCTGCACGCCATCACAATAACTGCTACTCCTACTTCTACTCCCACTGCCACTGCCACCACTGCCAACACGGCCACCATTGACACCACTGCCATCACGGCCAGTGCCACCGCCACTGCCACTGCCACCGCCGCCGCCACTGCAAAGAGCTACTACCACTGCTCTCGCTCCTACTAATACGACGTCTTCGATTACCCCTCGTTCTTCTTCCTCTGCCGCTAGCACCTGAACTCTTGTTTTCAGAGGATGACACCTAAATGGATCTGAACGGCATGTGCCAGAGGTACTCCGTGCGGATGCCATCGCCTCCAGATCGTTGTATGCATGATCGGCACGAGCGATCTCTGAAGAGCTACTTAAAGGACGCAGCTTTGACAAACCGCCAAATAGTATGCCGCTTGTTGTTTTGAGTTGGCCTCGAGCGCTGTAGGGGGATGCCGGTGTGGGACTGTCTTTCTGTTCTACTGTTTAACCTGTGTGAGCTACCTTGGCTTTTGATTCAGAATGCAGTTCCGCGAAGGGCTCTAAAAGGCCCTTGGGTCTGCATGGGTTCGCTTTTAGGTTTCGGTGTGCGCTCGTTAGACCACAACCCGATCTTCCTGAACCTGAGACAACCCGAGTGAGCCTCATGTTTGGCAGACAGCTTAGTGCCAGATTTTGATCAGTTCCATTAGTTACCAGTGTGAGTAGTTTCAGTATACGACCGTTAACATAGCGACTGCTGCTGCGTACACATTGCATTGGTGAATTGTTGAGTTCCTCCTCCTGCTCTCCTTCCAACAACAACAACATCGCCAACACCAACATCAACAACGTCATATACAACATCAGCAGTTACATAACAACAGCGGCAGCAAGATCAACAAGATCGACAACAACAACAACAACCACAACAACGTCAACAACAACCGTAAAAACAACAACGACAACAACAAAACGAGCAACCACAACCACAACGACTTCCACAGACAACAACAGCACAATCCACAGCAACAGCAGAAACATCGGCAACAACAGCAACGACAAGAACGACAGCAACACCAGCATCAACAGCAGGCGCTACAAGAGGGCTATGTCAGTAACTGAAACTACAAGTGCAACTAGCACAACAACACCCACAGCAACACTCACAACGACGAGATCAAGTCAACAACACGATAACAACAACGCCACAATCAGCAAGGGCCGCGACAACGATGACAGTAGCAGCAAGAGGAACAGCACTGTTAACAACAATACTACTACTACTACTACTACTACTACTACTACTACTACTACTACTACTACTACTACTACTACTACTACTACTACTACTACTACTGCTACTGCTACTGCTACTGCTACTGCTACTACGACGACGACTACTACTACCACTACTTATACCAACAGTACAACAAGTTCTGCCGGTGCTGCTACTGCTGCTGCTGCTGCTTGTTGTACTACTACTGCTACTACTACTACTACTACTACTACTACTACTATTACTACTACTGCTACTACTGCTGCTACTACTACTACTAGTACTACTACTACTTATACCAACAGTACAACAAGGTCTGCCGCTGCTGCTATTGCTGCTGCTTGTACTACTACTACTACTACTACTACTACTACTACTACTACTACTACTGCTACTACTGCTACTACTACTACTACTGCTGCTACTACTACTACTACTATACTATTACTACTACTACTACTACTACTACTACTACTACTACTACTACTACTACTACTACTACTATCTACTACCACTACTACTATTTACTACTACTACTACTACTACTACTACTGCTACTACTACTACTGCTATTACTACTACTACTACTACTACTACTACTACTACTACTACTACTACTACTACTACTACTACTACTATACTATCACTACTACTACTACTACTACTACTACTACTACTACTACTACTACTACTACTACTACTACTACTACTACTACTACTACTACTACTACTGCGTACAACAAATACATCTGCACGTACAAAAACTATTATTATTTTTATTACTACTACTACTACTGCCACGACTGGTACTACTAGCACTACGGGAACAGCTACAACTATAACAACAACACACGCGCACGCAACACACAACAAGCAACAACGCAACAAACAACACGCATCACACAACAAGCAACCAGCAAACAACTAACAAATAACACACCTCAAACAACGAACAACAAACACCAAGCAACCAGGCAACAACAACAGCAGCAACAACAACGGCAACAACAGCAACAACACCAAGACCAGCACCAACACTAACACCAACACCACCACCACCACCACCAACAACAACAACAAAAGCAACAACAACAACAACAGCACCACCGCCGCCGGCACCAATAACAACAGCAACAGTAACTGCAACACCACCAATAACAACAGCAACAACAACAACAACAATAGCAGCAACAGCAACAGCAGCAGCAACAGTAGCAGCAACAGCAACGTCAGCTGCAGCAGCGACAGCGACAGCCACAGCCACAGCCACAGCGACAGCCACAGCGACAGCAACAGCAACAGCAACAGCAACAGCACCAGTACCAGCACCAGCACCAGCACCAGCAGCAGCAACAGCCGCAGCAGCAGCAACATCAACAACAACAGCAACGACGACGACGACGGCAACGACAGCTCCTACTACTGCTGCCGCTGTTGCTGTTGGTGATGCGGCTGAGCATACCAGCAGCAGCACCACCACTACCACCGCCGCTAGTTGCTAGTTTTGCTGTCACCAAGATTGTTTGGGCGAATCCCGCCCTTAATCACCGCGGGCCAATCCCGCCCTTAATCACCACGATTTTGTTCCGTTTTATGCAATGAGCAAAGAGTGAAGCCTCAACTTTAACACTCTGGGTTTGGTGATGGTTGTGTGGGGCTGCGTGGACGATGCAGCGAGGGCGACATTTCTGAGCAGACTATGAGGACTGCCTGGAGAAGCTTGGGCAAAGTCTGTGACTGGGACAACCCCGATGGCTGACGAAGAGGAAAAAGGGAGGCAGAAGACGAGCTAAAACTGCAGTTTGGAGCAAAGACTTTCAGACGGCGGAACCACTGACCTCCGAGGGGACAGACATGCACCAGCAGAGTTCTCAGGAGGATACGGTACGGGCACAGGCTCCAACCGAGGGCAACACGCAGGACCACACTTTGGTTGGTTGTTCTGATCATGATTATTCAGAGTTTGGTGAGTGGCATGGGTGTTGCCACGAAGACTGGCGCCCGAGCCCGTCTCATGGGGTTCGCAAGTAGCACGATACAAGCTGGGCTTTTTTCAGCTGATGAGGGTAGCCATTCTGAGTTCGAGGATGCAGCGCCGCGTGATACTCGCGGGGGCGTGCCTGCCCGAGTTTGCCAGATATGGCTTGGACATTCGCGGGATGATGACTGAGTTTGCAAAAGCCGGTCTCGACGTTCGTGGGATTGTCCTGGACGGACAAGTGGCTGGGGGCTGCGAGGGAGTTGGTACAGACACCATTGGGGTTTGAGGCAATGGTCGAACGAGCAGCAACCCGAGCAAGTACACCATCGTTCGGCAGGATTGTGGAAACAGTGGCGGTCCAGCTGTGATTATGGCTCAGTGACGCATGTGTTGTTCCATGGTCCAGGGACTGTGCATCTCCTGGTTGAAGGATATAGGCCGAAAGCTTAAACTGACAAGGTTGACCGGGATGGAAGTTGTCTAAGACGGATGACTTCAGACCCAGCCGAAAGCAAAGGTGTCACAGGACTGTTTACATGTGCTGAAAGTCGCTGGCACGTGCAGACTGTTCTTCTTTATACGGTGTTGAGAATCTTCCGTGCGCTTGCATGGCTAACTTATGACTCAAGCTTGCAAAAAAATCGATCGTGGGAGCTTTCTGACATTTTTGCTCTGCGTTGTTCCTCAAACTTCATGGGGTGCGCTTGAACTGACGCTTGCCCGCCGTGTCCTTGTAGCGGAGGCCATAGCTTCACCTTCCCCATGGGCATTTGCTAGACATTTCGGCAGATCGGAAACAGGTTCTCAACGAAAAACCCTAAACCGTGAAACCGCGAAACCCTTTTCTAGAACCCCTATAGCTCCCTTATATTGCATCCCCTGAAAGGAGCTGCAGAGACAGCCTGGGCATCTCAAAAGCCAAGTTTGCCCCCCTGACTGCACAGATGGGAGCTTAACGTTTTCAACTGTATGTAAAAGGAATCTATGGGAGGTTCTGGAAAGGAGATTGGGGTTTGGGGTTTCGAGATTTAGGGTGGGGATTTAGGGTTTCAGGATTTCAGACGCTTAGTGTTTCTGCCACGAGTGCAGCAGCTTTGATGCAGGCGGGCATGTGCAAGTCTGTGCAAAAGGGTTTCAGGTTTCACGGGTGATAGTGAAGGGATCCGAGGTTTATAAAGGGCTTAGGGTCTGTTCAGGCTTTAGTCAAGGATCCTACCGGTTGGGTTTTTCAGAAAGTTTAGCGCAGTTAGTGCAGTCCTGGATCAGGGTTTTTCATGGAAACAAGAGTAACGGATAGCTGGCCGGTGAGTTTAGCCTGGGGCAACTAAACCCTAATTTCCAACCCCGAAACAGTACACTACATCGCTTCGGGATATGGAGATTTGGGATTTTGGGATTCGACTTGAGATTTCGTTTTCATGGGGGTTTCCCTGCACTGGTCGAGAAGATTTGAATTCTTCACCTAGGCATTTCCCGCGGTGAAGATCCAGCAGCAACGAGCTACTTGTTTGGAAAGAGCTCGGGGGCCAAAACTGGAGGGTTTCGGGATTTGCGGTTTAGGGAGGCTTAGGGTGAAGCATTTCAGAATAAGGCTGTGGTAAGAGAGATCGGAAGCTGCATTTGTCGTCGACGCTTATGACGTCCCTTGCGACAACCCAGTTCCAGGCTCAGCTTCTAAAATCTTCGTTCCTGAAAATCCTGACAACTTACTTCCTTGCTTTCCTTCCTGCTCTGACAAGTCCTTCGTTCAATCTTTCTCGGTCTCCAGCAGCTGGCCATGGTTGCTGTGCAACCGTAATTATAATTGTTTTAAAAGTGTTTCAACAACATATCTTGCACGAGAACGTGTGCGCATATTCATGTCAGTGTCAACAATACAGGCACGAAGACGAAAACGCACGCACCCATCCGTGCACGCACAATGCACAGATGCAGGCACGAACACATGCGCAAACTCCCAAAAACACGCATTTTCGAGTGGATCTATTGATATCTATTGGTGATAAGTTTTGAATCAGGCAAAATTGGAGAAAAGATGATGATGATCATAATGGTAACGGGAACGAGATGATGTATTGGGTGCCACGTATGCCAGACGGACAGAATGCAGACAACAAAACTGAGGTGTTTGTTCAAGGGGTGAGGTTCCTGCCCCGTTGCATCAGGCACTTGGAACGATGCAGTGAGATGAGGGTCAACATGATATTAGGCTCCCCCAGCTATCCACGTGGGGATGTTTGCACACTTGTGGCGTTTGGTGGTCATTGTCCAGGACATGCAGCCAGGACAGGCACGCGTAGATTCCTGGTCCCCTGCCAGAAGGACCTCCTGCCTCCTTTATCTAGGACAGCACTCACACACACACACACACACGCAAACGCACACACAGACACAGGCACACACAAACACACACACTTATTGGTACGCACACTGCATGCACGCACGCACCGATGCACATTTTACGATTCAGTCTGGAAGCCTGCCCAACTACAAGATTTCTGCCGCGGAAGGTGCCCAAATTTCCGGCATGAATGACTGCTTATGCATGAATGTGTGAATGTGTACGGTGGGGTTTGTATGGTATGGCGTGGTATAGCATGGTATGCAATGCAAGATATTACCATGTCATGTAATGCCATGCAGCAAGGCAATACAGCAATGCCTTGCTCGCACTAAGGACTAGACCTATACTTGCAATGCATACAGGTCATGTCCTTGTTGAAAACTTCTGAACAGTTGACTGCGTCCAAAGCCTTCGCATTAGATAGGCTGGCTGTTCAAGAAAAGCAACCTTGCGACGGACTTTTGCAGGCTCTTGGACTTGGACCGGTATATTCCGGCAGTACTTTGTGGGAAGGCGATCTGACCCGCCTGAGCCGTGTTCCTTGCCCAGTCACAGCTTCTCTGTGTTTCAGCGCAAGGAGGATTAGTTTGAAAAGGGGCTCGAGCTGCGGATGCCGAGCTCAATAGTGTCAGATCGACATGTTGCACTGGGCACCTGGTAAAGAATCCAAGTTTACAAAGCACCCAAGGGATGCTGTGCTATAAGCACCAAGAGAAGAAGTGCAATCATGCATAGGAATACGCAGAATCTTTATCATATCACCAAGCTTGAAGTTCACAACGTTGGAACCGCAAATGTTAAGACCAGCTTGGACACTTGGCTTGCAAGATGATGTCGGTGATGCTTGTCATTACACGAGCAGTCGTACAAATGATTGGTCCCGTTTTGTTCCATAGTCATAACATGAAAAAGTGCACACCCCATGTGCATACGTTATCGACTGTTTTTTGTGTTGGTCTTTCGTAACATATTTTTGCATTCGTGTGATATCGTGGGTTTAATGGTTCCATTGTGGCATTGCTCTTCTATTGCCATGCCAGCTGGATCGTGTTCTGTAGCTCTGCTATCCAGAAGCATGTGGTTCTTGCGACTACTTCCCTCGTGCAGTCTTTGTTGCTCTATCAGTATATGCAGTATGCGCAAGCGGAAGCCAGCATCAGACGGTTAGGTTAGGTGCGGCTTGGGATAGTGTGAAAGATAGCACATGTGTCAATGTGTTGACAGACGTGTGTGTGAGTGCGGAAGACAGTAAGTCCGCAATCAAGCAAGTAGCCAACCAAGCCAACTAAGCAGATATGTACAGCGAATGAAAGATTGGTTATCGGTCTTTCGATATTCGAACAAGTTATACGATACTATAGACCATGTTTTGTTATCGTGCGTTGCATTATATTGTGTTGGTATTGTCTGGTATTGTAAGATGTTCTTTTGTCTGTCTACTACAGTAAAATGCTTTATTAAATTAGACTACATGTCAATATATCATTTTACATCATATCACCTTATACCATATCATATTATGCTTTATGTCATTATGCTATATCATAATACTACATTATGATATATTGCATCATGTCATATTAGATATACATATAACAAACAATGCTAAAGGATATTATTATGTTCTGGTATGGCATATCATTGTACAGTACATCTTGTTTGTACGATGTTATGTTATACTTCGGTATTTATGTTATGTCATACTATATGACTACGTATCATTTGCATACATATATATTTATACATATGTACATTACATTTTACTACATCTAAGGTTATATTACATGTTTAATAAAGAGTTGTATGTTGGATCGAATGTCCTGTTGTATGGGGTCTTATGGTTGTTCAATTTTAGCGCCGTGCATTTTATACTTTATATTGTTTTGGTATTTCCCTTTTTTGATATGCACAGTTGTTCACATGCCCCAACATTTTGTTTTGTTTTAATATACATATATATATATATGTTCACATGCAAAAACCATTCTATCAGATTATAAGACTTCGTATCAAATTGTATTCATTTATTTTACAAAACATACGCAGTATATATATATATATATAAAGATATATATATATATATATATATATATATATATCGTACTATATAATGTGTGTTGTATTCTTCATTTGATTATAACTTGAGTATTGATTTGTCGTCTATTTTGCGATTTTTGTATCAGGTTACACTAGATCAAGGTACATTAGATTATCTTATGTCACATCTCATCATGTAGAACTATGTTCTATCGCATCTTGTTGCATCGTTTTTGCGTTACAACACAACTGTTACATTCCGACATAGCAGCTGGCATATTGTATAATGTACAATATAATGCAGTTGTCTTACATTTTAGTAGTGTAAATCTGTTTCTTTGGAGAGGACATCTGTAAATGTGCATACTCACGGCTGTGCACATACGGCCGCACCAATCCAAATATCGTTGATTTTCATAAAGCTGCTCTTAGAAAGAAACCCTTCTCCTACTGTCCACATCGTACACAGTGTTTGGCTTCTGCCTAACTGATCCTCCGGTGCGTGCTGCGCCGCATGCAGAGGACAGCTAGACAGCTAGTCCTTCAATGTGCATGCAGCGCGAATTCGATGCTTAGAGCTTGTTCTAAATAAGTTCCTTTTTGGATCCGTGATAAACTTGCAGTTGTCATACAGTTCAGGCATATCTATCAACAGGGTTTCCGTGCTTGAAACAGCTCCCGATGTTATAGCCCGAGCCCTAGAAACCTCGTAAACCCCCATGAACCCTACATTGCCCTACAGTATGACAAGCTCTAAACTGATTTGGGAGTTTCCGAAAATTGAGGGATACTTTTTTTGGAATCCTTGGAATAGGGATCTTACTATTTAGGGTGCTCTATTATAGTGTCCCCTATTTTCAGAAACTCCCATTTGGAACAGCACTCGATATCATAGCAGGAGATGTTAGAAGCTGCCCCCACCCTGTACTAGTGACTATAAGGATTATATTAGGGCCCAATTATATTCCTACTATACCACTATTACAGGGTGGGGGCAGCTTCTAAAGGAGATGTCTGTTTCGGCTCGCAGGGCCTCTGCGGAGAAGTTCGGCCTGCAAGAGCTGACGCAGTCGGGAGCAGCAGATCACAGGGTTTAGGAAAGTTTAGGGTTTAAGGGTTGAGGGTTTAGGAGAGCTTAGGAAAGTTTAGGGTTTCAGGGTTGAGGGTTTAGGAGAGCTTAGGAAAGTTTAGTGTGAATGCACCCTCTGTTGTACATGTACAGGAAGCCATGACCATGACATGCATGTTGTAACTGTATTATATCCCGCTGCCATTAGGGCCCTTGAGTCATACCGTGATAGCTTCGCAGTCGGTGAAAAGGTCCGCCAATTTCAAATTGGTAGCGGAGCAGGTACCCCCAGACGGGACCTGTGTCTGCGGGGACCGAAGTAGCCTGTAGCCTGTGCTGGGCCTGGGAGGGCCCGAACCTACCCATTGCGCACTCCCCCTTCAAACTTTCAAACTTCCCTTCGAACCTTCGCCAATCATGTCCGTGGCCGGTCTTCGGTACAGTCGCTCCACGTATTCGAGTACTCCCCTGGAAACTCGTAGCGGGAGCTACATTTATGATGGCACCCCCAGTACGTTCCACGACTGGGAGTTTAGGACCTCTATGAGGCTTAAACTGTATGAAGATGCTATCAGGAGCAAATCCAAGAAGACCGTGGAGCCCGAAGAAGAAGGCAGTGATGATGAGAGCCGCGTCGTGGAGCCGAGTCCGACTGCGGGAGCCACTGCCCCTGTACCTCCCGAGGACAGGCCCGACATGGATGCAACCGAGGCAGCAGCAGCAGCCTCTGATGGTGGATCTCGCAAGAGACCACCCACACCGAAGTCATCCGACTCGGTCTCAGGACTGCCGATTGCAGACGAAATGTCATCCTATGCGATTAAAGCAAGAACCGAAATGGTGCATAAAGTGCTGGAAGGACTTCGGGACGAAGCCTTCGAACTCGCCCGGGATATCGGTATCGAATCCCTGACTGCCCCCGGTGGCCTCCGGGATTTCATCACCAAGTTGAGGAATGTTGTTTTCCCCCGTGCCACCGAAGAAGCTCGAGAGCTCTTCCGTGCAGGCCAGAAGCAAGGTGTCCTCGCACGCCAAGGCGGCGAGTCGATGCTGTCGTACGTCAGCCGGCGACGACGTTGGTGGAAACTGCTCAAAACCTTAGACGCCAGCATCGAGCTTTCCGAGCCGATGCGTGTGGAGTTGCTGCTGGAGCTTTCTGGATTGACTCGGCAGGAATGCCTGGTCATCAAGGCGTGCACCACCAGCAACCGAAGCTTTGAGGCCGTCGCTGCTACCCTAGTGGAGCACTACAGCGGCGTTCACCTAAAGGAAGGTCGTTCCTTAGGTGGCGGTACCTTTCAGGACCGCCGGTCGAATCACCATCCTGGTGCCCGCCGCGGCAACCCTAAGGGCTACGGTAAGAGTAGGTCAGAGTAGGTCTAAGGGTTTCAACCGTCGCGCCTACGTCGCCGAAGACGAGACGCAGTACTACGACGACGCGCAGCCGGACGACGGCGACGACGCCGAAGAGTACGACGACACCGTGCGGGATCTAAGCAAGGCTAGTTCCAAGGCAGCCCCCTCACAGCCATCTAGCTCAATGCAGATGGAGGGGGGCGACCGAAGATTTAGTCTCGGTCAACACAAGGGCCAGACTTACGAGGAGGTATCCCGTAAAACGGAATTCGTGCGCTGGGCCCTCGCCCAGCCGAGCCCTGCCGCACACCTTAGAGATTTCCTCACCTGGTGTAATAGGTATTACGCCATTCAGCAAGGTGTAGGAGGTCAATATTATCGTGAAACTCGTGCCTCAATAGGTATCCCTGAGGGAACCTATAACCCTCGCCCGAGGGGAAAGGGCGCGAAGAAGAAGACTCCACCGAACCCGCCCCTGGCGGAGAAGTGTAGCTCGTGTACAGAATTCTCCTACCAAGGAAGTTCTGCCAATTACGTCCGCAAGACCTGCAGGGACTGCGGCCATGTATCCCAGGAGAAACGGGAACATGTATATACCGTAGACCCCGCTGTATGCTCACACGAGGCAACAGACCATCGGGGTAGTTCGAGGACAACGTCCCGAACCATTCTGCAGGTGGCACATTCGTCGATGAAGTGCCGCAGGAGTTTCACCGAGAACGGAAAGCCGTCTCGGAGCGCGTCCTGGAAGCGACAGACCTCGGGCTTCCTCTGGTTCAAGCGGTCACCGCTGACGACGCGACCGCCGACCTCGATCCCGAGGCGGTGTTGCAGATCATGGGTTTGTACCAGGATCGCATCAATCAGGCCATTGCGTTGGAGGAGCGTATTCACCCGACGGCGCTTCACTTGTGGCTAAAGGAGGCGATCACTATGGTGGTAGGATCTAGCCCCATAAGTCCTTCTTGGGAATTCGCCCCGACAGCAATGGTGGCCCGAGGGCGTAGCCCCGGGCGGAACAAAGGAAGAAGGCCAAGCAGCCTGCCCCATCCGTTCCTGCTCCAGAGCCAGACCCGGCTCCAGAGCCTGAACCGACCGGCGCACCGGAGTCGTACAGCATCTCG